GGGGGGGGGGTGCATGTACTGAAGGAAGACGGAAGGAGGAAGGAAAAAAAAAAAAAAAAAAGACTCAGGCGTGCGAGTGGGGACGCCCGCAATGCAGGCCAAGCGTCTACAGCAACACAAGAAGCTGAACAGCCAGAGACAGAACAAAAACAAAAACACAAGCAAAGCAAAAAAAGAAAAAAAAAAGAGAACGATGTGTACATGTTTGTGTGTGTGGTTATGCCGGATGCGTTTCACTGCGGTTCGGTTTCTTGATTCGCGTCCGTGGCAGGCATGGACGATTCGGGCCGCCAGAACCTGCGAAAAATCGCTGGTTTGACCAACGGCATCTGCACACCGAAAAAATTCTTCGCTTTGGGAATCCCGCAGCCCCGCGGTGCAAGGTGTACACCCGCCTCCCACACGCGGCAGACACCAACAAGCAACGTGAAGACATCAATGGGCGCCATTGCCGCTAGCATGCCGTACGCGATGAGTGTTTGTCCCTTCTTTTCCGCCAAGCACTGCGAGGTTCGCTTCTGTCGCAGCTGCCTGCTGCCGTCCGCCGTCACGGCGTTCATCATCCACACCGTCGGGTCGTCGGTGTCCTCACGGTGCGGCACGCACTTCGCCAGTTTCACCCTTTCACCCGAAACAGTGTGGCGCGTCAGGCTGTCTGTCATGACGTTTGCCCCGCCCAAGAACTGAAACACGTCCACACATCGACGTAGCCGACTTTTCCGCAAGACAAAGCGGGCGCGCCGTTGGGCATCGCAGACAATCACATGGGGATGGATGCGATGGCCACTCTCGTTCAGCAACTCCCCCATCATCACCCGTTCACGAACCGCAGACGGTGCTGAAAAGAACGCGGTGGGGAAAGAAGAAGAGAAAGACGAAGAGGTTCGCGGCACAAGAACACCTTCCATAAAACCTTCAGAAGCGCCGTACACAAAGTTATGTTCTACTTCCCCAACAAATTTATTGCCAAAAAATCCAATAATTTTGTCATCCGCGTACTCTGTTAGATTAATACACATCGACGTCCTTTCGGGTACCAAAAATTGCACCCGCCGCTCCTTCCCCGCACGACATTCGGCGCCGCCCCTCTTCTTGTCAGATAGCTCCAGGGCCTCTATTGAACCAATTTGTATCAATGGCAAAGAAACCGTATCGTCGCTGTCAGAACGAATGGAACTGCAGAAACTAAACAACTCCAACGCCTCATTGTCGGCCGAGACGCATGTGCTAAACGCATCGGCACCCCCCGATCCAACTCCCACGGAAGTATTCTCGGGCAAGCAAGGTGGCGTGGTGCTGATACTTATTTTTTCCCCCATCACTCTTAAAGAACCAGGGTGTACGGAATGCGGCAATGAAATCGCCGTTATGGATGCATTCGTTGCCGTTGGGCCGGTTGCGGTGGACACGACTGTGTTTGAGGCCCCCTGCGGTGATTCCCCCACGGGGATGCCTTGCACGTGTTCGATTTCAGCCTGAAGCATTTCCGCTACAACGTCTCGTGTGCCTTTTCCTCCGAATGAGGGCGGGAACTGATCTTCGTCAATAAACGGAAGAATAGCCTCCATCGTGGGGGCTCCAGGAAAGAAGCGTACCTTATCCTGCACGCGTTGGTCAACAAACGGCCTTAACACCTTCCACGCCCCTGCCACTGCCCAACCAGCGTTGAAGACAAGCATGCGGCACATAATCTCCGGGTAATATGCCTGCATGATCTTCGCCAATTCACGCGCAAAAGATAATATAACGGAGTTGGCAGATGAAATACCAACGTGACGAAGATCCAATACAAGTGTGCAACGGTCTACATGCCGCTCCTTCGCCAAAAATCGTGCCTTTTCCATCGACTGCATTTGCACCCGCAGCAAATCTCTCTCGAATCCACCCTTCAGCATCCTCACCAAGAGCGGAATGTCGGGTGTATTCCACATGACAGGAAATCCCTCCTTGTCAAACCCGTACAAACACGATGCGGTTGATTCAACTTCCTTCGAAAATTTCTCTGCAATTATAGTGTTCAAGTTCATTTTTTTACGCAGGGAAACGTACGTTCGCAAGGATGCATCCGCCGCCTCCACCACCCACCGCCTGCCAATGAGAAACCGGTAGAGCAGATCACAGTCAGAGAGCTTTTGGCGGTCGTCAATAGGGAGAACATCACGCAAACGGGAGCGGAGCTCCAAATTCTTGCGTTGATGTTCTTTCGAAAGGACCGTCGGCCCGGAGCGCGTCTGTGCGGCGTGAGCCTCCTCGTACGACAATTCCTCGCAGTTCCCCATCACCTCAAAAACTAAAATGGAGGAGGCAATAATAACAAACACAAACCAATCACTACAAATAATTTTTTTTTTTTTTTTAAGAAGAAAAAACTAGAAAGGGACTTCCACTAGGCGTGAAAGAACGCCCCACCCCTCCTCTCCAGTTGGGCAGAGAAACACACAAAGCACCGCTATCTCTCTCCCTCTCTATGTATATATATATATATCTGGTGTAACTGACTTAAATGACTACTGCAGAACTGTTTGCTTTTGGGCCACACAAAAATGATGCCCACTCTTGCCGCTTTTCTCCTTTACAAAAAAAAAAAAGAAAATATGTTCAACACAAAATGGAGCTGTCCACTCACGACTCCCTCTCTTTGTTTCGTTGTTGTTGTTATTTTCCCCCTTCTGTGTTGAGCAGCGCGCCCCCCTCCCACACACACACACACAGTCTTCGTGCTCCGTCTGGTTCTTCTTCTTTTTTGTTGTTGTTCCTTAATTGTGTGTATAACCTTCAAAGAAACTCCTATAGAACTACAAACTAGCCACAGGCCTGAGTCCTTTTCGTCCTTTATGATTAAATCCTTTCCCTGCCGCCACCTCCGTGCGTTCCACCCCAACACTACTCCCTTCGATCGGCTCTCGTACTCCTTCCTTCCACGCACTACATGCCGACGCCCAGACAGCCAGTGAAAAGGGAAGAGAAAGAAAGAAAGAAAAAAAAAAAAAAGGGGAGTAAGAAAGGATCAAAGGCCCTCCCGCCTCAAAAGCAATGCACCACATTTCTCACCGCAACTCGCGCAATTGAAATGGAATTATTTTCTGTTCCTTCTTTTTTTTTTTTTTATTTCTTTCCTTTTTTGTTTTATTGCATCTGTTCCGGGGTTTCGTTTTCAAAGTTTCATTTTCCTCAGGCTGCCGCTCCAGCAGCAGCAGCAGCAGCAGCACAACCAGAAGGACGGTAACTATAAACTTACTTGTAGTTGTTGTTTTTGTTGTTGTTTTATTCAACCTCCTTTTTCGGATGGTTCTTGTTGTTCTCAAAGCAATTTGTACTGACCCCAATGCACGGGAAGAAAAGAGGCGACACGACATGAAGGGTGAAAACAATGCAAAAGCGTTCCATCCTCATCTCCTTCGTCTCCACACATACGGTTTCGAACACGGCTGTAGATATATAGGTGTGCACATATGCGTGGAGGCGTCCCATTCTTGTTCCTTATGCACTCACGTGGCACTACCGCGAAGAGCATTAAACTTCTCTAGGAGATCATCTTCGTCCTCATCTGCAGCGTTCACTTCCTCCGTGACCTGCTGAGTTTGCGGTAACTTGGCCTGGCCAACTGTCGCGCCTTGCATCTTGCCGTGCATGACCTCCTCGACCACCTTGTTCACCTCGTCATCCAGCTCGGCATTGCTAATGTCCTCATCTAGTGCGTTGTCAACTGTGTCATTTATTGTCTCCTCGATCAAACCCGCCTTCATCATCTCTTTGCTCATTGCTCGCATTGTGGCCTGCACCTCCTGCACACGCATCAGCTCGTTCATCTGTGTCATGATGGCCGCGCTCTTCTGAATATTTCCCGCCAGTTTAATTTGCGATGCCTGTTGTTGTAGATGCATGGAGACCGAATTCATTTGGGTACGGGCACAGTACAAACGCTTCACCGCATGACGTGCCCGAATGATCTCCTTAGAGAGCATGCGTACCGCCACCGTGTCCCCCTTGCGTGCGGCTGCCTTCGCCGCCTGCTTTACTTTCATCTCCTCCCGTTGAATTTTACGAATTTGTGTGTCAATCTTGCGCATCTCCGAGCTGAGGTTCCGCCGCCACAACTTCGTTTGCTCCTGGGGATCCACACGTTTAAACAGCTTATCAAGCATCGGCGTGGCTGATAAGATAAATGTGATGGTGTGACCAAGCCTTCTGTGTACCAAACTAGGCTCTAATAAAAGGGGCAAGAATATATATATATACGGTGTGGAAGTGTGAGTTGGTATTGAGAATCATAATTACAAAAAGGGAGAAGCAAAAGGAAATAAGAAAAACACACATTAGGGATGAAAGGAAGAGAGAAATGCAACATCATCATCATCATCAATATTAGCAGCAGAGCAACCAAAGAAGGTAAAAAAACAAACACTTGTAGCTGAAGAAGGTGTATCCGTGTGCCTGCATACATATCCCTTCTGCATTCAATGGCCGTTGCGCTTCAATGCATGGAGTTCAATCGGTGGTCCATCCCGCTGCCCTACATCGTGCTCGCTCCTCCTCCTGCTCATCCCTGCCGTTACTAGACTGAATGTCTGATCCCATCCGTGTCGCCTGCACCACCAAAGGAGGCTGCAGTGTGTAACAGACAGGGGATGTCACATGGGGTACGCCACTCTGGGGATCCGATACCGCATGCATCGTCATCATCGTGTCCAGTTGATATGTCATCGGCAGGCACAACTCCAGTAACCGACGGGCCCCCTGATGGGTGACAACGTAGCAATTCGTCGTCCGGTGCATCTGAGGCACACGACTCACACCCTCTGCAACACGCAGCTGAGACGCCTGATTCGCCGTGTCAAGTCCGCTCACATACACAAGTTCCCAATCCTGCGGAACGTGACGCATGCGCTCATCGTAATTTTTTTTAAAATCATGTGGAAACAAGGAGTCATCCTCTACCACGAGAACACGGTGATAGCGCCGTGCCGCAATGGTGGCCCAGAGCAATACATGGCTGAGCGCACATCCTACTGCTGCGGGATTTAAATCCATCCCCCAAATGCGACGCGACTCTTCCTCTCGTAGGCGAAGAATCCCCAACAAAGACACCAATCCACATGCCTGTGCCTTCTGAATATCGACGGCACGACCGTCAACCGCGGTAAATCGCTCGTATTCGCCCTCACGGAACCCTGCGCGCTGCAACTGACGCAATATAAATTTCCAACGGTCAGGCCGCCTATTGAGATTTATGACATACACCGCGTCAAATGGGCTTCGTGCCGTAGACATGGAAAAAGAAAAAGAAGAAGAAGCGCTGCGGAGAGCCATGCACTGTGAGGCGCTGCTAGCACCGCGGCTACCCCAGCAGCGACTGCCGTTCAGACTCGTCTGGAGTGCCGTGTGCCCCCATCCACGCAACCGCATTCTCCTGTCCCGTCTAATGTGTGCGTCTCCCCCTGCGAGTTTTCCACGCCCGTCACGTGTGAATACCCTCTTTATTGTTATTATTTGTCTGTGTGCGTCCCTGTGTGTGTGTATGTGTGTCTACCCCGCCAAAATCAGGCGTGCCTTGAAAAAAAAAAAAAGAAAAAAAAAAATTTTAAAAAGAGGCTTCTGTGGCATCAAACGACGTCCCTCAAGAAGCGGCGGCAGCACGGCAAGAAACTCAAGGCAAGAAGGGGAAGGGGAAAGATCGGTCGCTGAAGCCCAAAATGCTCCATCACACCCCTTTTTTTCTTTTTTTACACCGCGCCCTTTCACTCTCACGTGCACTCACCAATGTTTTTTGTTGTTGTTCCTCTTCTTTCTTGCTGTCTTAAGTTTCTGGGCCTCTTTTTTCTTTCTTTCTTTCTTTTTTTTTTTTTGTTTTCCAGTTTTATTTTTCCTTTTTATCTTGGACTGTTGGCTGCAGTTTCCCCCAGCCTCCAACCCCCTTC